ATACTTATAGACTTTTACTCAAGTTGTATTTTACTGGGTGTCTTTCACTTTTACTTGAGTCATTTTCTATTAAGGTATCTTTACTTTTACTCTGGTATTTCTATTTAGTACTTTTTCCACCACTGGTGGAAGTGTATTGTTTCAGTTAGCGGTGCATTCAAAAGCAGCCACTTTCCAATAACATTAGAAATAGGGAGAAACACATACAGGAGAAACATTTAAAGAATGTAACTATTTTCAGATATTACGGTAAAAAGTATCACTCACCTCTCAATAGTAGGATATCTCAGTCAGTCTTGTTTCAATGAAGTGACTTCCTTTCTCCAAGGTCTGCCTGCATGTGTCTCTTCAGTCTCTTCCCCATTATAATTTATGGATGTAGTCTGTTAATCTATCACGTCAGTTTATTTACATTTACATTTAAGTCATTTAGTAGACGCTCTTATCCAGAGCGACTTACAAATTGGTGCATTCAGCTTAGGATAGCCAGTGGGACAACCCCTCCATTATTATTTTTTATTATTATTTTATTTTTTTGCCTTAGCAACATGTAAATCATAGCTTCTCATCTTGTACCCTATTTAGTCAATGTCAACATATTACTTTCCGTAAAGGCATGGAACACAACAGATTCATTTCAATATTCAAAGTACAAGATAATAACGTTGTTGTCCATAAAACTCTCAGACGCCATATTCTAATCTTTAAGTAATTATATTGATTTTTCATTTTTTTTACACTTTATTTGGTAAGTCACCCAACAAATGGTTTATCAACTAACTATCGACTAACTATCAAGAAATTGTTCAACTGTTCAATTGTTCAACTGACTATTCAGTAACCTGTCCCCACAACCGTAACTCTAACCATAACCTTAACCTTAAACCCCAAACCTATGCCCTAACCCTAACAAGTTGCTGCACATCAACAGTTGCAATAGTTCGTTTATTTTAAGTGCCATATTTCTTGTCATATAATTTTTTATATACTAACAATTATTACATGTTTATTTAAATATTAAATTTTCAGACAAAATGAGTGCTTAAGTCCTTAAAACACAGCAATGATTAAACCGATTCTACACCCTCCAACAGAATCAGTCAATGGGGTGAAGTTTCCCCTAGCCGCTGATCTTGGGTCAGTTTTGCTCCTCCCCTAGTATTGGTTATGGTTAGGATTGGGGGAGGGGACGCTTATCCTAGATCTATAGATACTGCAGGTGGAAACTTCACCCTGGAGCCAGTGAGTGGAGTGTGAGCCTCTGGAGCTCCACAGCGCCTCACTATTGCCGTCTGCTGCTATAGAAAATCCACCCTGTTGATCCCTGCTTCAGGACCTGAGAATGCAGAGAGAGACAAGAGAGAGGCAACTTGGTTTCTAAACCATATAGGGGAGGACTTTTGGCATGGAGAGTGCGCTGAAATGTTCAGTTCTGAAGAAGAAGAAAAAAACATTCCAAAGGCTAGAAAATAAGAAAAAGTTGAAGAATTAAACGATAAATATGAAGAAAAAATGTACTAGGGGGGGAGGTGATTCTATTCTGTTGCAGTACAATTCAAGAGTAGAGTTACTTTGCTTCCGAATTCTGATCATAACTTTCTTGTTGGGGGTTTTCCAAATGTGTTGCATGACTTGTCATTGCTGTGTGAACAGAGACTTCATGACTTAGGGAATATATCTATCAGTGTCCTTTCATTTGATTGTTTACTTGGTTCTTCTATCAGATTAAAATCTAAAACCAACCAGACTTGATTCAGAGTCAGACTGGAATTCTTCCTGCGTAAGGCATGTCAAAAGTAAATAAAAATATATGTGGAAACAATGTAGCTTTTAGTGCTTCATAGTTCATGACCTACATTAAGATCCATATATAATACTTTACTGTAGGACAGTGGCGGCTCCTGAAAAAATTCTCAGGGGGGGCAATTTTTCTGATGATTTAGGTGACCTACACACATTTTAAAAAAGATATGTCCAGCAACAACATGAAGACAGGGGCAGCATATAAGTCAATACCAGAAGCATTTATTGACTGATCTCAAAAGTGTTGGCTTACCAGGGTTGGTGGAGCCCTCAGTTTCATCTTTGCCTCGCAAAGCTAACTCAAACACTCCGCAAAACTTCACACACTGGATTAGCCGGCTGAGGATGTGGCGGTTCTTGCTAATGTCGTAGTAAATATATTTGTTATAGTGAATATGGAATATGATATGTTGAGTAAAATGTTGTGCTAAGATCTATTTAGGTCAGGAGCTGGTTATAAGTTCTGTTCCTATCCAATAACAATGGACAAAAGGGTCCTATCTTGTCAGCCTTGTCAGCAGGTGGCCAAGGACAACACCCACGCCATAGGCCTCTCAGTTCTTCCAACTCACGAGTTCTTGCTCTGAGGACACACACACACACACACACAAACACACACACACACACATCATCACTGTTAAACACACACACACACACACACACACACACACATCATCACTGTTAAACACACACACACACACACACACACACAAAAATCCCCTCTCTTAGGCTGAACATTTGAAGACAGAGAACCCGACTCAGAGCCAATGCAACAGTGACAGTAGCCTGGAGGGGACCTCGCCCAACTCATCAGGACCAATCAGAAGATCAGAACTACTAGATTCAACCTACTTCATTTATTGCATAAAATGTCTGCACACAATGTTTCGGGGCTCTCTTCAGATAATAATAATAATAATATGCCATTTAGCAGACGCTTTTATCCAAAGCGACTTACAGTCATGCGTGCATACATTTTTGTGTATGGGTGGTCCCGGGGATCGAACCCACTACCTTTGCGTTACAAGCGCCGTGCTCTACCAGCTGAGCTACAGAAAGTGGATACTCATGGATGCGCATCGCAATTGTAAAATGTCAACACAATTGGAGACACCACGTCATTTTTGGAGACATGTTATTGACAGTAAACTATTGTAGATGCGACTGCTAACTAAATAAAACATTTTAGCTGGCTAGCTAATCATCTTAGCTAAATGTGGGGCAAACAATTCAGTTATTTACCGTTAATTTTAGGGATTGGGGTGAAAGAAATCGAGTTACATAGTGATACTTTACGATATACTGTATTGACAATATCGCAATATTTTAGCGCTAGTTGGCTGTACCTGCACCAAAACACCATTATTGTTCCTTCATAGCTTGTTCTCAATCTTTTCACATTGGGGAGCCAATTTGTTTTCAGCACTTTTATTTCCATGACTGGTCAAAACTCGTTCTCATGGCTTTCTGATCCCTCTGCAACAGACATATGGTGCGCAATAAAATCACAGTATCGAATCGCAATACGTATAGAATCATGAGACTCGCAATGCATATATCTTATCGTGAGGTTCCTGGCAATTCCCAGCCCAAGTTCATTTGCCACAACAAATCTCTTCGCTAGCAAACGCGATGTCTTCTCCAAAACGGCAATGTGTCTCCAGCAATGTTTACTTTTTTGACGTTCTATGGCATCTCCACTTTCCAAGCATATATGACCACATGTAATATTTTGGTAAGTGATGCAAATAGTGAACTATGTAGGGCCAGGATGTAAAATATATGTAGCTGCAGCAATTTCTCTTATCTGATATGGTAAGTAATGGGGCTTAATGTATAGCTCCCTAATAGTTTGACGAACGGGTCCGTGCACGCGATTCCAGATATCTTTACCTCTGAATAAACTGCCTTTATTATACCATATCCACCCTGTCCAAAGTCTCTACTTGGTCTCAGTTCTCCAGTAAACTTGTGATTATCAACACTAACCTCATAACCAAGTGCAGTCGCAAAAACCATCAAGCGCTGTGATGAAACTGGCTCTCATGAGGACCACCACAGGAATGGATGACCCAGAGTTACCTCTGCTGCAGAGGATAAGTTCATTAGAGTTAACTGCACCTCAGAAATTGCAGCCCAAATAAATGATTCACAGAGTTCAAGTAACAGACACATCTCAATATCAACTGTTCAGAGGGGACTGTGTGAATCAGGCCTTCATGGTCGAATTGCTGCAAAGAAACCACTACTGAAGGACACCAATAAGAAGAAGAGACCTGCCTGGGCCAAGAAACACGAGCAACGGACATTAGACCGGTGGAAATTTGTCCTTTGGTCTGGAGTCCAAATTTGAGATTTTTGGTTCCAAATGCTGAGTCTTTGTGAGACATGGTGTGGGAGAACGGATGATCTCCGCATGTGTAGTTCCCACCGTGAAGCATGGAGGAGGAGGTGTTATGGTGTGGGGGAGCTTTTCTGGTGACACTGTCTGTGATTTATTTAGAATTCAAGTCACACTTAACCAGCATGGCTACCACAGCATTCTGCAGCGATATGCCATCCCATCTGGTTTGGGCCTAGTGGGATTATCATTTATTTTTCAACAGGACAATGACCCAACACACCTCCAGGCTGTGTAAGGGCTATTTTACCAAGAAGGAGAGTGATGGAGTGCTGCATCAGATGACCTGGCCTCCACAATCCCCGACCTCAACCCAATTGAGATGGTTTGGGATGAGTCAGACCGCAGAGTGAAGGAAAAGCAGCCAACAAGTGCTAAGCACAAGTGGGAACTCCTTCAAGACTGTTGGAAAAAGCATTCCAGGTGAAGCTGGTTGAGCGAATGCCAAGAGTGTGCAAAGCTGTCATGAAGGCAAAGGGTGGCTATTTGAAGAATCTGAAATATAAAATATATTTTGATTTGTTTAACACTTTTTTGGTTACAACATGATGTTTTATTTCATAGTTTTGATGTCTTCACTATTATTCTACAATGTAGAAAATAGTAAAAAATAAAGAAAAACCCTTGAACGAGTAGGTCTGTCCAAACTTTTGACTGGTACTGTATATGTGTGTTTATGTGTGTATGCGTGAGTGTTTGTGTGTGTTTAGACAGATTTATTTTGGACATTAGGTCACAAGGACGTGGAGTTCTTGAGAAGTAGAGGAAGACAGGTATTCATTGTTATGCCATGACGTGGCACCTGATATTTACGGTCTCTGTGTGCAAAGCTTTGATTCACACAGTGGTATATCACTTCCTTGAACAGTTCAATTCAACACTTGTCTAGCTGAAGTTAAATCAACCCGGTAAGCCATGGTTTATCTTTTCATTAACTACTTTCACTACTAACGATTTTACAGGCCTGTGTTAATAACACTAACAAATAATTGTCAGTCACTAGTGAATGGAGGGATGTGTTGCAAGAGAAAAATGGGAGGATTTCCTGGGAAAGATAGGTTGATCTGTGACTTTCTGAAGGTTGGAATAAATTCATAGACACATGAACAGTATAATACCTTCTTCAATCAGGGGTGAGGGTGGGGATGGGATTACTGTATGTTTTGTGTTTAGTTATTTATGTTGTGTGTTTTGGTTTCACGCTGTGAGCGGTGTGTGTGCTGGTCCCTGTAGTTATGGGTGCTCTCACTTCCATGCCAGCCTGGGCGTCAGGCAGGGCTTGGTCCTTCCTGCCCTTGGAAAATCCCTTTGGGCAGGGGGCTTCGCCATGCCGGCATCTCAGGCAAGTGGGGACGAGTGCACCCACTGACCAGATCACCCACTGATGCGAGCGCCCATTCACATTGTCTTTGTGATGTATCGTTGTTCTTTTAATAACAATAATAATTGTCCTCAGTAACGTTGGCAACTAGGGTTTAAGACGTCATGTTAGGGATAGATAATACATAACTCTAGTCCCGTGTAGCTCAGTTGGTAGAGCATGGCGCTTGCAACGCCAGGGTTGTGGGTTCGTTTCCCACGGGGGGCCAGTATGAAAATGTATGCACTCACTAACTGTAAGTTGCTCTGGATAAGAGCGTCCGCTAAATGATTAAAATTAAAATGTAAACTCATACATAATTTGGCACCAGACAATTCACCTTAATACTTTGTCATATTTTTAGATGAGGTGCTATTGAGCAAGACTGGATAGTTGTTTCAATAGGTTCTAACATGGAGGCTCATGTATGCTCTTACTTTAAGATAATTCCATGGGTTTTCCCCTATCTTTAAATGTTAAACATAATTATTATTACAATGTAATTATAGTTTATGGCTAGCTATACAGTTGTTACTAGTGTTTAACCTTCTGTCTAAATAAGAGAGCTGTAGTGACAAAAAGTCAGAGTTTATGTCTCCACAGGTGTTTGTGTTCCATTGTCTGTACTGCTCCAGCAACTATTCATTACCTAAACATTTTTGTAGTTATAAAATGGCTATAATATCAATAGTAATATTATAATTCATAGATGTGTCTTTGTAAATGGATTCAATTGTACACATGACAAATGATATGAGATGTCCTATTTCATCTCTCCCCCAACTCTTGTTCTCTCTCTCTCTCTCTGTCTCTTGCTCTCTCTCTCTCTCTCTCTCTCTCTCTCTCTCTCTCTCTCTCTCTCTCTCACTCACACTCTCTTTTCCTCTCTCTCTTTCTCTCTCACACACACACACATGCACACACAAACACACAAACACACACACATACACACACACAATGTAGACCTGCTAAACAGAGAAATGGTGGGTTTTCTCTATGTTCTCCTCTCTCTGACTGCTTTACAAGTGGAGTGTTTCAGTGGGGGAGGATCTTCCATTGCTACTCAGTGTGGCTCAATGCTTCCTGGTAGTATTCATGGCAACACAGGGCAGAGCTCTCCCTCACCATACACTGTCACTGTCAGCCAGACCACCTACCAGCCAGGAGACACCATCCAAGGTGAGTCACCAAGATGGTTGAAACACACTACTGGGCTTACCAGATCCATACTGTACTATCTCAGATGCAGGAACGGACTGGGACCAGCAATCTGCCCAGGCATGTCTAATACACAACCCATTTTGTTCCTTGAGGCCCCCGCAAATAATGTTCATTTTGCGAGAAAATGTAAATAAACATTTAGACAGGGCTAAAAATGGAACATTAACCAGAATTGCCCTATGGCAGTCCATCCCTGCTCAGATGTTAACATTTCACATAGCATATTCCAGAACAGCTGACCTGACAATATAAGATTGCTGAGAGGCATCCATCTCCCTCCCTTTCTCTCACTTTCTCTTTCTCTCTTTCTCTCAGTGACTCTGTCAGGAACCATCCCTTTTAAAGGGTTTCTTCTGGAGGCCCATGAGGAAGGAAAGAACACCGCTGTGGGAACGTTCTCTCTCGGCAGTGGGTCTGGGATCGTTCTTGTGTCGTGCAATAGGATCGCAGTGAGTTACGGTTAGGGTTGTAAAATTCCTAAAACTTTCCCAGTTGGAGGATTCCCAACCTGCTCATGCCATCCTGATACTGGAGATCCTCCAACTGGGATTTCTAGAAAACATGGGAATTTTGCAACACTAGTTACAACACAGCACAGGTCTTTCTGGCCATAGTCTTCACTGTTATCAATTTACCTACTGATTTATTGGATTATATTGACTCAACAATATGTCAAATGAAACTTACTTGAGCCCAATAATAGGAGAGTTTTTACTGGTCAGGCTACAGAGTGAGGAAATAGAGTTAGGGTTGCAAAGATTCCGGTAACTTTCCCCAAAATCGGTTTGATTCCGGAATTCCTGGTTATTCTCTCCTGATTCCTGGAATCTTCCAACCAGGATTTCTGGAAAACCAACCCTAGACAATAGTTTGTTACCTTTACCTACTATAGCTTGAACCACCAATAAGCAATGATCAGAGTTGCAAATGTTAGTTTATTGATATTGAATTTTACACCATAACTAGTCATTGTTCTCTGTTGATTGACTTGACCTGCTGTTTTACTGTTAGGCCTCTGGGGTGAGTCAAAGCGACAATCAGCCTAAACGAACAGTAACAGTCACCTGGACAGCACCAGCCTCAGTCTCCTTGGGCAACATCGTAGTCAAGTGAGTCTCCACTAGAGTTGAAAAATTACGGTAACTTTCTCAAAATTCCCAGGTTTTCCAGAAATCCTGGTTGGAAGTTACTGGAATCTGGCAACCATAGTCTCCACTAAAGCCATCACAAACACGACGCAGTTCTTTCTTACATAATTTTTCTGTAGTCAGCAACTGAAATCACATATTTCTTGCCCAAAATGTTTGCAGAGGTGTCATGCCTATTGAAAAAATTACAGCACTATATATCCATTTGTAGGATGAAAACACTTTGGTGCATGATCCGACGGCACAGACATCAGTTCAACATCTAGTTTTGAGTTACGTTTGGTTGAATTGTCAACTAACAGAATTCAACGTTCAATCAACAACAAATGTCACCCTGTCTTTGGATTTAGGTTCAAAGTTGGGTGAAAAAAAAGAGGAAATGACTTTACATTGATGACTTTTTCCTAATCTAATCAGGTTTCCATGTTGATTCAATGTCATCGCATAGATTTTTGGGGTTGAAATGACGTGGAAACAACGTTGTTTCAATTAGTTTTACCCTGTGGGATGCCTCTAAATGTTTGCTCTGTGTTGCAAAATTCCAGAAACTTTCCAAAAACTGTTACATTTTACAGAAATTGAGTATCTGCAGAATCAGGCTTGAATGAGCAATGGGAATCCTACAACCATGGGATTTTGGAAAATATGGGTATGATGAGACTGTTTCAGGAATTTTGTGTGCTGTCTAATATCGGTACTATTATCTGTCATCCTCTTCAAGGACAACATTTATGCAGACCTTCAGTGTATTTTGGATTGCAGTGCCTAGTGTGACAGTAAACCGAGTTGTCACCAGTACAAGTCATCCTACAACAACAACTACTGCTCCTACTACAACAACCACAGCTCCTACTACAACAACCACAGCTCATACTACAACAACTACTGCTCCAACTACAACAACCACAGCTCCTACTACAACAACTACTACTTCTACTACAACAACTACTTCTCCTATTACAACAACTACTGCAAGTGCAAGTATAGATACATACTACTTGTGCTATTTTAACTCAATTTAGCAGGCACCGTTGAGTGTAGTGCTATATGCATCATGAATTACAGGAGATGTAACTTGTAGTGCTAATTCCATCATGAATTACATGAGTGTCAGGCTGTCAGTGTGATGCGGTAGGACGAAGTCAGGTGCAGGACACAGAGTTAATCGAAAACGTACTTTACTCGTAGGTAACGTAATGAACATAACCTTCACACAGGGAGGAACAAACCCGCTCACCAGACGACAACCAAACATGAACAAACACGCACAAAACACAGTGGGAGCCAGAGGGTTAAATAGGGAAGAAATCAATACATAATGGGAAACAGGTTGAAGTCTAAAGTTTACAGACACTTAGGTTGGAGTCATTAAAACTCGTTTTCAACCACTCCACAAATGTATTGTTAACCAACTATAGTTTTGGTAAGTCGGTTAGGACATCTACTTTGTGCATGACACAAGTAATTTTTCCAACAATTGTTTACAGACAGATTATTTCACTTGTAATTCACTGTATCACAATTCCAGTGGGTCAGAAGTTTACATTCACTAAGTTGACTGTGCTTATAAACAGCTTGGAAAATTCCAGAAAATGAAGTCATGGCTTTAGAAGTTTCTGATAGGCTAATTGACATCATTTGAGTCAATTGGAGGTGTACCTGTGGATGTATTTCAAGGCCTACCTTCAAACTCAGTGCCTCTTTGCTTGACTTCATGGGAAAATCAAAAGAAATCTGCCAAGATAAAAATTGTAGACCTCCACAAGTCTGGTTCATCCTTGGGAGCAATTTCCAAACGCCTGAAGGTACCACGTTCATCTGTACAAACAATAGTACGCAAGTCTAAACACAATGGGACCACGCAGCCATCATACCGCTCAGGAAGGAGACGCGTTCTGTGTCCTAGAGATGAATGTACTTTGTTGCGAAAAGTGTAAATCAATCCCAGAACAACAGCAAAGGACCTTGTGAAGATGCTGGAGGAAACAGGTACAAAAGTATCTATATTTACAGTAAAACAAGTCCTACATCGACATAACCTGAAAGGCTGCTCAGCAAGGAAGAAGCCACTGCTTCAAATCCCCCATAAAAAGCCAGACTACGGTTTGCATCTGCACACGGGGACAAAGATCGTACATTTTGGAGAAATCTCCTCTGGTCTGATTAAACAAAAATAGAGCTGTTTGGCCATAATGACCATCGTTATGTTTGGAGGAAAAAGGGCGGAACTTGCAAGCCGAAGAACACCATCCCCACCGTGAAGTACGGGGGTGGCAGCATCATGCTGTGGGGGTGCTTTGCTGCAGAAGGGACTGGTGCACTTCACAAAATAGATGGCATCATGAGGAAGGAAATGTATGTGGATATATTGAAGCAACAGCTCAAGACATCAGTCAGGAAGTTAAAGCTTGGTCGCAAATGGGTCTTCCAAATGGACAATGACCCCAAGCATACTTCGAAAGTTGTGGCAAAATGGCTTAAGGACAACAAAGTCTAGGTATTGGAGTGACCATCACAAAGCCCTGACCTCAATCCTATAGAACATTTGTGAGCAGAACTGAAAAAGCGTGTGCGAGCAAGGAGGCCTACAAACCGGACCCAGTTACACCAGCTCTGTCAGGAGGAATGGGCCAAAATTCACCCAACTTATTGTGGGAAGCTTGAAGAAGGCTACCCTAAACGTTTGACCCAAGTTAAACAATTTAAAGGCAATGCTACCAAATACTAATTGAGTGTATGTAAAGTTTTGACCCACTGGGAATGTGATGAAAAAAATAAAAGCTGAAATAAATAATTGTCTCTACTATTATTCTGACATTTCACATTCTTAAAATAAAGTGGTGATCCTAACTGACCTAAGACAGGGAATTTTTACTATGATTACATGTCAGGAATTATAAAAAACTGAGTTTAAATGTATTTGGCTAAGGTGTATGTAAACTTCAACTGTATATATAAAAAAGAAAATACTGCATGCAGTGCCTTTCGGAAAGTATTCAGACCCCTTGACTTTTTCCACATTATGTTAGGTTACAGCCTTGTTTTAAAATTGATTTTTTTTTCTTTTTTTTTCATCAATCTACAGGGATCAGTTGGGGATAATGATAATGGTAAGATTCAGGAGTGTGTCTTCTTAAGTAACTGCTTTCATGTATATATGATAAAATGCTATTTGAAATGTACATTTGTTAACTATTCTGACACCAATGTTTTTGTATAATGCAAGAGCACTCGTACACAGGTATGCACACACACACACACACACACACACACACACACACCCCCTCGGGTGTGCATTGTGGTAATTTTGCACTGTGGTCTGTGGGATATAACGCTGTTGAGCCTGTTGATGACTACATGACTCAACCAGTAGGTGTCAGTACTGAACAGTCCTGTTGAAAAGTGACAATGGGTTTTCTTGTTTGTTTGTTGGTTTTTCCAGGCCTGTTGATGATGTTGGTCTGCTGGAACCTCTTCAACCTTCTGATTTAAACCTGCTGAGCTACCAAATGAGGACTATACAGACAAGTTCAACATTTTATTAGTTTGGTGTTCTCTGTATAGTGTGCAATAACACAGTATTTAGTTTTATACTGTAGTCTGGAATAATTATTCAAATATATGTGTATCTTTTCTCCTGTCAATAATGATTTATTTTGTGTTTATTTTTATTTGTTTTATTTGTTGAAATGTACAGCTTTTCCAATATACCAGTCCAATCCCAGTATATATTTATCAATGCTAATGTAAAACTTTAATGAATGTTTTTGTGTCCTGAAAAGATCATAAGGATGTTTTACACATAAAAAAATAAAAAAATACAAAATAAAAATATGCCATTTAGCAGACGCTTTTATCCAAAGCGACTTACAGTCATATGTTCTGCATCTGATAATTGAGGCCCTTCGCTCCACTAGGAGCTGAAAGGAACAAGTTAAGTACTTTAAGTATTTGATATGGAACAGGGCATTGGGTTTTGGTTGCCTGTCATTTGTGGTAAAGTATCTCATAAATTGATATAAAATGTCCAATTGAGTGGACAACTAACGTTTAAAGCCCTTATTGCCCTTCGTGCCCACTCCCATACCCTATAATTCTGTATTTCTTTGGCTGCGTTTACACAGGCAGCCCAATTCTGATTGGCAGATGACTGGCAGCACTGATTAGAAGCACCTGCTGCTCACCGGTTACACACCTGTGTTCCCCGTAATAAATTATGTTTCTGATTTGAAAAGATCTGAACCTACACAAGGTTTTTAAGCAGAAACATGTGTATGCTATCCTGATGTAGTAAAAATAATAACAATATATACAAATTATGTAAGCTATACGCGATACATTTTTGAGTGCGGACCAATCACACTTTGTAAGTGAGGAGGTGTAAAAACAAGCTTTTCTGTTAATATATTTATGAATAGACATATAAGTAACTTTGAAAATATACTTCATGACTTTGTAGAATAGCATACCCAGGGTAGCCAAGAGGGGATGAGAAGGACCCATTGCTGTAGAAAGATAGTAATTGATTTATAGTAGATGCAGGATTATAGCAAACATGACTTGAAAAAACTGTTGACATTAAATTATAGTCTTTTAGCAGCAACTAGGTTTAAGTGCCTTGCTTAATTAAGGACACATCGGCAGATTGTTCACCAAGTCAGCTCAGAGATTCAAACCAACAAACTTTTGTTACTGGCCCAATGCTCTTAACCACTAGGATTCCTGCTGCCCTTGTTGAGCCTATGTCAGATTTTGCGTCTATCTTATCTTAAATGTTGTCCTGTTTTAGTGTCAGTAGATTAAATAGAATTATACCCATGAAAGATAATAAAACATACATTGTAAATAAGTTTTTATTTCAATAAACGTGTAATGCAAATATTTCCATACTCATTTAAAAGGGTAATCCGGAAGAACAGTTCACCATCCAGTGGCTTCATCATTGTGTGCACACACACACACACACACACAAATTGGTATTTTGATCAGCTATTAAAAAGATCTGATGTTTTTGTTGAAAATATCAATTATAGGGAATAAATATCAGAAATTGTCTGCCTGTCTAAATGCAGCCCTTGCGACTTCATCTATAGCCCACTTGGCAAACACTGGTTGAATCAACGTTTCCATTTCATTTTAATGAAATTACGTTGAACCGACGTGGAATAGACGTGGAATTGACGTCTTAGTCCAGTGTGGGGTATGTTTGTGGACACTCATCACTATACAAATATTTGCACACAGTCACACTCACTCACACACATCCACCAAGAAACACAGACAAGCATAAGTCTTCCTTCATAAAGGGACATCAGCAAATACAGAATAAAAAAACATCCTTTGTCACAAATAAATTAATTACATGTAGGGGATGACATGGGGGTAATACGAATATGGAGGATCTGTTTTTACACAAACTTCTTATTTCTTAAAGGGACAGTTCATCTTCATCAACACCAGCAATACTCCAACATCAGCATACTCTATATTAAAATGGCGGGTTTCTATGTTTTGTGGTCAACAAGGTAGAAGAAAGTAAGTGTTAATGTTGGTGTTGCTGGAGATAATGAATATGAAGTTCAAATGTCTCTTTAAGAAATAAATGATCCTCCATATACTTATGTCCCCATAGAAACGTGCCATTTTCACATATGATGTTTGGGGTGGTGCTGGAGATGATGAATATGAGGTTAAGTTGATTAAATGTTTCCTTTAAACAGTATTGTCAATCCACACAATATGTTAGTACTTGTCCTTGTATCCATTCTGTAGGTTAATGTCTTACTACCCCCAACTAGAAGGTGTTTCATTAAGTATGTGGAAAAACATTGTTGTACTTATAAGCATATTACTTCAGATCTGACATGGTCCTTTGTTCTGGTACCAAAGTGTCCAAAATGGGACCCAATTCCCAACATAGTGAAAGTACAGTACTATGTAGGGAACAGGGTGTAATTTGTGGACGCAGTCTGACCAAAGTGAATAAAGGTAACGAGGCAGGATTCCTGAGTGCATGGTGCTTCCCCTTCAGACCTGCATTACAGCATCATCATACCTAGTACACCTAGCAGGATCAGAAGAGCTATGGAGGAGAGAGAGAGAGAGAGAGAGAGAGAGAGAGAGAGAGAGAGAGAGAGAGAGAGAGAGAGAGAGAGAGAGAGAGAGAGAGAGAGAGAGAGAGAGAGAGGAGAGATAGAGAGAGAGAGAGAGAGAGAGATAGAAGACAGAGAGAGAGAGAGAGAGAAGAGAGAGAGAGAGGAGAGAGAGAGAGAGAAGAGAGAGAGAGAGAGAGAGAGAGAGAGACAGAGAAGAACAGAGACAGAGACAGAGAAAGAAAGAGAAGAGAGAGAGAGAGAGAGAGAGACAGAGACAGAGACAGAGACAGAGACAGAGACAGAGACAGAGACAGAGAGAGAGGGATATAAAGAAAGAAAGAAAGAAAGAAAGAGAGAGAGGAGAGAAATTATTTAACCTTTCATATTGGTTTTCTACTCTTGCTAACATGGGATTATATGAGATTAGTTACTACGGTAACACTTTAGAATAACTTCCATGAATTACAACGTTATAAATGGTCATAGACATTTATAAAAGCTTCATAAATTATTATAAATGATTTATTTCTAAATTGCTTTCAATGCTTATAAATGAAAAATGAAATACTTCAGAATAAATAGTTTATTCATGCTTAATCATGTTATCAGTTATAATTATAAAGTGTTAGTGGTGCTTATTATGGGCTTATTACCTTGAGACAGGGTGTGCTGCAGGACAAAGGCGTGGCTGGAGGGAGCAGCAGTAGTGGAGGGTCTAGCAGTAGTGGAGGGAGCAGCAGTAGTGGTGATGTTGTTCAAAGAGTTGGTCACAGTAGCGTTGGGGTTGCCCAGGTCCACCCCTTTACTACTGACCAGGACAGCAGTGGGACTACCCAGTATTCCTGAGGGACGAGAACAAGGAGAGAGAGAGAGTTAGAGAGCGAGAGAGCGAGAGAGAGAGAGAGAGAGAGAGAGAGAGAGAGAGAGAGAGAGAGAGAGAGAGAGAGAGAGAGAGAGAGAGAGAGAGAGAGAGAGAGAGAGAGAGAGAGAGAGAGAGTGAGATAGAGATGGACCCCTATATACTGATCTGAGGTCAGTTTAGCATTTCCTCCAGTAATGGTTAAGGTGATAATTGGGGGAGGGGAACTGATCCTAGATATGTACCTAGGGGAAATTTCACCAGGTGCGTGTTTGGAAGAGTGCCTCACCTTTAGTAAAAGTCCCATTGGAGATGGAGATGAAGAAGCTGGTGTCGGAGCTCCCGGTGGCCGTAGCGTTGGGGACAGTAGCAGAGAAGGTGCACTGGATGGTCTGATTGTTGACTGAGCCTTTCACAGAGTCCACAGGCAGCTACACAACACAACACAACAGTATTAACCAAAATGAACATTAGACAAATGTCAGTAGCCCTACACTGTAGAATTGGTCAGGTACACTGTAATTCTCCCAGGCAGTTTCCCAAATGGCACCCACGTGTATATGCAGGGAATAAGTGTGAGAATTAGGGTCAAATTCAACTTCAATGACCATCCAGAAAATATGGATGAATACTGATACATGAATACTGATACTTGTGCTCTCAATATCTTGTCCAACTCATCAAACTCATTGATTGAATATAGTTAACTTCCTGAATTTGCCTGGAATCAAACCACGCCCTGAAAGTCTTTCCAGAAAGTCACAAATTAAACACTGTGTTCTGATTGGTCCAACTCACCGTGTTGGTGTCAGTCAGAACTCCTTTGTCAAAGAGAGTGGTGAAGAACTTCACGTTGCCGGTGTTGTTGGCACACACATAGGTGGTGTCGTTACCACCCTGTAGAGGAGAGAGAGGATGAATTAAAATAAATAAATAATTATTATTTAAGTATGGGCCCTGTGTAGCTCAGTTGGTAGAGCATGGCACTTGCAACGCCAGGGTTGTGGGTTCGTTTCCCACGGGGGCCAGTATGAAAAATGTATACACTCACTAACTGTAAGTCGCTCTGGATAAGAGCGTCTACTAAAATGTATTCATTTTGCCAATTTCTTCCGAATTATTTTTTTTTCTTGTCATTTAGCAGACGCTCTTATCCAGAGCAACTTACAGTTTTAGTGAGTGCATACATTTTCATACTGGCCCCCAGTAGGAATCGAACCCACAACCCTGGCGTTGCAAACACCATGCTCTACCAACTGAGCTACACGGAACTATCCATTAATAAAATATTAATGTCAATACCCCAAATTCACAAAATCCTGAATTTCCTAAAGTTAAAATGACTTCTCCCCCCAACCCCAACTCCCTTGTCCTTTGTATTGTAAAATGTACAGTAAATTCTAAAGGCAGTTTTCCATACCTGTGTGGAGTCTGTGGACAAGCTTACAGCGATGTAGCCGCTGGACACTCCTCGTAGCTGGAAGGAGAAGGTCTGTCCCGAGGACTGCTGGGTGGAGACGAAGAAACAGGAACCAGCCACGGACGGATCACAGTTGTCTGGCACAGCAGCACAGAACTGAGACATTCCACATTCCGCCCTTGAGATGTTTCCCTGTGTATGAAGAGTTCATCATTAGTTGCTGTCATGTTTGTCATTCCTTTTGAAATAGTGTAGTATATGAGTGCAAATGAAACTCCCAAACAGGTACTTTGCTAAATCTGCTTTCTGTTTCCATGGCAGCGGGTGAGGTTTATTGTTGAAATCCTTCAAATTTACTTTAAATACAGTTTGATATCAGAGAGAGAGAGAGAGAGAGAGAGAGAGAGAGAGAGAGAGAGAGAGAGAGAGAGAGAGAGAGAGAGAGAGAGAGAGAGAGAGAGAGAGAGAGAGAGAGAGAGAGAGAGAGAGAGAGAGATATGTGGTTCCTTTTTCTAGTCAGAGACTCTGTGCGACCTAGTGAGACAGCCTAGGAAACTCACACTGAGAGTTGCGACGGTAGTGTTGACAATAGGTGCCATGGTCGTCTGAATCATTGTTATGTTGGGTCCCGTAGCTGTAGCATTGGCTGTACTTGTGAAGTTCAGGGTCGTTGTTATGTTGGGTCCCGTAGCTGTAGCATTAGCTGTATTTGTGAAGTTCAGGGCCGTTGTTATGTTGGGTCCCATAGCTGTAACATTAGCTGTATTTGTGAAGTTCAGGGCCGTTGTTATGTTGGGTCCCGTAGCTGTAGCATTAGCTGTATTTGTGACGTTCAGGACCGTTGTTATGTTGGGTCCCGTAGCTGTAGCAATAGCTGTATTTGTGACGTTCAGGACGGTTGTTATGTTGGGTCCCGTAGCTGTAACATTAGCTGTATTTGTGAAGTTCAGGGCAGTTATGTTGGGTCCCGTAGCTGTAGCATTAGCTGTATTTGTGATGTTCAGGGCCGTTGTTATGTTGGGTCCCGTAGCTGTAACATTAGCTGTATTTGTGAAATTCAGGGCCGTTGTTATGTTGGGTCCCGTTGCTGTAACATGAGCTGTATTTGTGACGTTCAGGGCCGTTATGTTGGGTCCCGTAGCTGTAACATTATCTGTATTTGTGAAGTTCAGGGCCGTTGTTATGTTGGGTCCCGTAGCTGTAACATTAGCTGTATTTGTGAAGTTCAGGGCCGTTATGTTGGGTCCCGTAGCTGTAACATTAGCTGTATTTGTGACGTTCAGGGCCGTTGTTATGTTGGGTCCCATAGCTGTAGCATTAGCTGTATTTGTGAAGTTCAGGGCCGTTGTTATGTTGGGTCCCGTAGCTGTAACATTAGCTGTATTTGTGAAGTTCAAGGCCATTGTTATGTTGGGTCCCGTAGCTGTAGCATTAGCTGTATTTGTGAAGTTCAGGGCCGTTGTTATGTTGGGTCCCGTAGTAGTAACATTAGCTGTAATTGTGAAGTTCAGGGCCGTTGTTATGTTGGGTCCCGTAGCTGTAACATTATCTGTATTTGTGAAGTTCAGGGCCGTTGTTATGTTGGGTCCCGTAGCTGTAACATTAGCTGTATTTGTGAAGTTCAGGGCCATTGTTATGTTGGGTCCCGTAGTAGTAACATTAGCTGTATTTGTGAAGTTCAGGGCCGTTGTTATGTTGGGTCCCGTAGCTGTAACATTATCTGTATTTGTGAAGTTCAGGGCTGTTGTTATGTTGGGTCCCGTAGCTGTAGCATTAGCTGTATTTGTGAAGTTCAGGGCCGTTGTTATGTTGGGTCCCGTAGCTGTAACATTATCTGTATTTGTGAAGTTCAGGGCCGTTGTTATGTTGGGTCCCGTAGCTGTAACATTATCTGTATTTGTGAAGTTCAGGGCCGTTGTTATGTTGGGTCCCGTAGCTGTAACATTATCTGTATTTGTGAAGTTCAGGGCCGTTGTTATGTTGGGTCCCGTAGCTGTAACATTATCTGTATCTGTGATGTTCAGGACCGTTGTTATGTTGGGTCCCGTAGCTGTAACATTATCTGTATTTGTGAAGTTCAGGGCCGTTGTTATGTTGGGTCCCGTAGCTGTAACATTATCTGTATCTGTGATGTTCAGGGCCATTGTTATGTTGGGTCCCGTAGCTGTAACATTATCTGTATCTGTGATGTTCAGGGCCATTGTTATGTTGGGTCCCGTAGCTGTAACATTATCTGTATCTGTGATGTTCAGGGCCGTTGTTATGTTGGGTCCCGTAGCTGTAACATTATCTGGATCTGTGATGTTCAGGGCCATTGTTATGTTGGGTCCCGTAGCTGTAACATAATCTGTATCTGTGATGTTCAGGGCCATTGTTGTGTTGGGTCCCGTAGTAGTAGTATTAGTGACATTCTGGGCCGGTGTGGTGTTCTGGGTCTGGGCTCTCATCCCCATGTAGGCTATAACCATGACGACAGCGAACATCAGTCTGCTGCTATTTTCCATTCCTGATAGAGTAACGGAGATCCAGACGGTTAGGATATACTACTAGTGCTACTAATTATTCATTTGTTAAGGACGAATACAATTAAATATTTACAAAAGTAATCATCAACATTTTACAGTTAGTGAGTGCATACATTTTTCATACTGGCCCCCCGTTGGAAACAAACCCACAACCCTGGCGTTGCAAGCGCCATGCTCTACCAACTGAGCTACATTGGACTACAACAGTCAGATGCAATTGCACTATCATGCTTATGCTTGCAATTATGGGCTTGCACATGTTGATGATGATAGTACAAGCTTATTTCAAAAGCTTTGAGTTGTATCAATGGCAATATGAAACTATCATACCTGCGTGAATAAAAACATTAACATTCCAGTGAATAAACATAGGCCTACCATTTGTGTGGTAATTGGTCATTAACTCATAGGGGTATATAAGACAACAAAACATTGCATAGTGAATGGGTAACATTGTTGAATTAAAATAGACCATAATTGTTTTCACATTATTAATTAGCAGTGGTGTAAAGTACTTAAATATAACTGGTTTAAAGTAGTAATTCAGTCGTTTGGGGGGGAATCTGTACTTTACGTGGTCCTCTGTAGCTCAGCTGGTAGAGCATGGCGCTTGTAACGCCAAGGTAGTGGGTTCGATCCCCGGGACCACCCATACACAAAAAATAAAATAAAAATGTATGCACGCATGACTGTAAGTCTCTTTGGATAAAAGCGTCTGCTAAATGGCAGATTATTATTTATATGTTTCACAACTTTCACATTTCCTTCACTAGCCTAAATTCCGAAATAAAATAATGTTATTTTTACACCAAATATTTTCCCTGACAGCCAAAAGTTCTCGTTACATTTTGAATGCTTAGCAAGACAGGAACATTGTCCAATTCACGCACTTATCAAGAGAACATCCCTGGTCATCCCTACTGCCTCTGATCTGGGGGACTCACTAAACAAAAATGCTTGGTTTGTAAATTATATCTGAGTGTGCCCTGGCTCTCCACAAATAAATAAAAAACAATACAATTTTACCATCTGGTTTGCTTAATATAAGGCATTTGAAATTATTTTTAGTTTTACTTTTGATACCTACCTATATTTTAGTAAATACATTTACTTTTGATACTTAAGTATATTTAAAACCAAATACTTTTAGACTTTTACTCAAGTAGTGTTTTACTGGTTGACTTTAACTTTAACTTGAGTCATTTTCCAATAAGGTATCTTTACTTTTAGTAAAATATGTCAATTGGGTACTTTTCCACCACTGTTAATTAGTAGATCCCTTAATTAAATTAAATCATGAGACAAAAACCACAAAAACGTCCATATTCCAAAACGTTTATAAAGTATGATCTGAAAGTGTAGGCTACCAATTCATCAAGCGAACAGCTGGAAATAAAAGACTACCATTATGTCAGTGTGAAAAAAAAACAAAAACGAATAAATCGTTATTTTGTATATATCCACATCATCAGATAAAAGAGATGGAAACCTTACCTGTAATTTCTTGACTTGGAAGGTTTACTGAAACGAAAAGCGTCGTGGTTCTCCTTGAACAAGTTGTCTTCACGGTTACTGTAAGGTGCGCTAGAGAAGGAGATGTGACTTTGTGTCGATGTCACACCTGCCTCTCGCTATTTAAAACAGCACTCGCGAGGGGAGGAGGGACAACAAAAGATGGAGAAACCTGCCTCTCTCCTCCTTTAGGGTGGGGGGGGGGGGGGGGGGGGTGTACGGGGATGGGAGTGTTGACTCACTCACTTGAAAATCATATGGAAGTGAAAGTGAGTGGTTGTTGTAATGGAGAGAAGTTGGAGTTATGGGGGGGTGGGGGGGGGGGCGATGTTCACAATAGCATGCAGGTACGTGTGCCAACATAGGCTTAACGGGGGAGGGGTGAACTGGCGACGACGTTCAATGGAAACAATTATGTTGTTAAGCCTACTCTTGACCTCCGACAATAGATTGTGTCCAGTTACTGCGATCTTTTCCCAAACACCCATCTTCCTGGTTAAAATGTTTTCCTTTCACTTATTTGTGTATTAAATATGCTTGGCGACTATAGGCAAGGCTATTTGCAAAGAAAGGGAAATAAGAATATATAATTATGTTAGCTACCAATATATACAATTTAGGACTGAATATAATCCACATCCAAACGAAACGACATTTAATCCTTTTCTTTTTACTTATTCTATGATTAATTCCAGACCAATAACACGCTGCCAATCACACCTGTCCAACTCAAATTACACATTATTCTTGCTCTGTTTGTTTGATCTAGCTGAGTTGAGCTTCACAGTGGAGGGCAGGCAATCTTTTGAATTAAATCTTGATTGTGGCTAGTGGCTAATGGGTTAGACACCAGTTTTGGTGAATGAAAAAAATGACATACTAGCTTTAGTAAAAATAGAAAATAGTTTCTGGAGATGACAGAAGTTTAAGATATGGATGTCCTATTTTCATTAACAAGCCAGCTAAATCATTTGTTTTGGTACTGTCCATTTGTAGCTTGTTTTTGGTCACAGGTCCAGGAATGGCTGTAGGATTGCAATATTTACCTGGAGCTAACTCTGCAGATAGCACTACTGGGTGATCTGAAAAGTCATAGTCAATCGATCAATAATATAATTGTTAGAGTGAGTAGCTCGGTTGAGTAACTCTTCCTGTTGTTATTGCCAAGGTGGAATATTTCCCTTGTGATTGTTTCGTTTTGACGCTCAGTGCGTTTTATTTATGTAAATGGTATAAACTCTGGACTTCGGTGTTTTACCTCCTGCGCCTGACTCCTTCATTCACACCTCGTCAAAGAATCACTCACCCCGCGTAATGGAGTCAGCAGGAAAAGACCACATGCCTGGAGTTGTGGCAAGGGTCCAGGAGCATTCCTCAATGCTGGCCAGCTTGCGGGAAGTGATGGATCAGGTTCTTCAGGTAGTAGAACGCCTGGAGAGGAGAGGACCTGATCTATCGAGACCAGCTGGTCAACCGGATCCAGCCACCTACACCCCAGCCCCTGGAGGGATCCAGATATCCCGGCCAGCAGCGTTTGATGGGACGGCAGCGCGATGTAAGGTATTTCTGCTCCAACTAGAGTTGTATTTCTCCAGCATCAGGCCGGCGCCACTGGAGCGGGAGAAGGTATCCGTCCTCGTTTCCTGTCTTTGTGGGAGAGCCCTTGAGTGGGCCAACGCAGTGTGGAACGAGGGAGGTGCCGCGTTGGAGGACTACGTGGAGTTTGCTCGCCTCTTTCGGGCTGTTTTCGAATGACTGGTCCATCTGAGGCAGGGGACGAGGACTGCACAGGACTACGCGCTGGAGTTCCGGACGCTGGCAGCGGGGTCCAGGTGGAACGAGCGGGCCCTGATCGACCATTTCCGGTGCCACCTAAGGGAGGACGTCCGACGGGAGCTAGCCTGCTGTGATGCCATGCTATCGTTCTCCCAACTGGTGGACATGGCCATCCGGCTGGACAATCTGCTAGCAGCCAGAGGATGTCCTGGTAGGGGTCTGCCCGTTCCTACTCCGGACGACTCTGACCCCGAGCAGATGGAGTGGGGGGAGCCGCCGGTCGAGAGAGCGCAGGAGGACAGTGACAGTGCCACTCTGGTGGCACGAAGGGACAATCCACCTCATCTCGTAGTCAACGTTCCTTTGGGTCTGGAGGCGGTAGGCAGGGTAGTCACGCATCACCCCAGGTAACGAACACCCAAACTTGTTCAGAGCCCTTTGCGGCACACTGTGCCTTATCTATCTCCTTTCCCGAACACCTGGTAGTTTCCGAGTATAAGGCGCTAGTCGATTCAGGCGTGGCTGAAAACTTTATAGACAGGGCATTTGCATGCCGTCAAGGCATTTCATTGGTTCCCCTCTCCATTCCACTCCCCATCAGAGCACTTGTAGTCAACCATTAGGGTCCGGGTTGGTTAAGGAGGTTACTGTACCAGTCACCATGATTACACAGGAGACGCATGTTGAGCAGATCACTTTTTTGATTATTGAGTCTCCTGCTTACCCTGTAGTCTTAGGTATTCCGTGGTTAGCCCTTCACAACCCCACATTTTCATGGCTGCAGAGGGTTCTTACGTGAGTGTCCGGGTAGGTGTCTAGGTGTTTCCGTTGGTGCAACCACGGTGGAAAGTTCAGACTGTACCCCCACCGTGCGCATTTCCCCCGAATACCATGATCTGGCGCTCGCGTTTTCCAAGATACAAGCGACTAAATTACCACCTCATCGGGAGGGGGATTGCGCGATAAACCATCGGGTAGACGCTGTACCTCCCAGGAGTCATGTGTATCCCCTGTCGCAGGCTGCAACGGAGGCTATGGAAACATACATCACCGAGTACCTGTGCCAGGGGTATATACGTCACTCCACTTCACCTGCTTCCTCGAGTTTCTTCTTTGTGAAGAAGAAAAATGGCGGTTTACGCCCGTGCATTGATTATCGACCACTGTATAAGGTGACGGTACGATTTAGTTATCCTCTTCCCCTCATTCCTTCAATGATTGAGTCAATGCATGCGGCCCGTTTTTTCACCAAATTAGACCTCAGAAGTGCCTACAACCTGGTGTGTATTCAGGAAGGGGATGAGTGGAAAACAGCATTCAGCACAACCTCGGGGCATTATGAATACCTGGTGATGCCCTACGGTTTGAAGAATGCTCCATCCGTTTTCCAGTCCTTTGTGAACGAGGTGTTTCGGGACATGCTTGGTCGCGGTGTGGTGGTCTACATCGATGACATCCTGGTGTATTCCGCTACGCGCGCCGAGCATGTGTCCCTGGTTCACAAGGTACTGGTCCGACTGCTGGAGAATGATCTTTATGCCAAGGCAGAGGTGTGAGTTTTTCCAGCAGTCAGTCAATCTCCTTCCTCGGATACCGCATTACTACCACAGGTGTGGAGATGGAGGGCAATCGCATTTTAGCCTTGCATAATTGGCCGACTCCAACCACAGTGAAGGAGGTGCAGCGCTTCC